AAGTTGTTCCTGATGGCACTATTGATCGTCTCAAAAGCTCGTTTAGTGGCCAAGGGATACACTCAGATATTTGGTCTTGACTAAGGGGATACTTTTTCTCCTGTTGCCAAGATGGCCTCTATGCGTCTGTTTCTTGCACTTGTTGCCATTCATCAATGGCCCTTTTTACAGCTTGATATCAAAAATGTTTTCTTATATGGTGACTTGCAAGAGGAAGTATATATGGAGCAACCACCAGGTTTTATTGCTCAAGGGGAGAATTCTGGAATGGTATGTGATGGGCTATGATTAGTGGGCCCAAGTTCAGCAATGCAAAAGAGTCCATAGTAGTTAGTTAGAGGAGAGAGATGTTGTTATATAAAGTGATTTGGGGGTGGGGTTTTCATTATTCATGTATTCAGAAGTGGTTAGTGGGGAAATGAGAGATCTCTAGGGAACTCTTAAGCCTAGGTATTTGGTTTGAGGGGGAGTTGAGGCTTTCTTGGGGTTTATTTTCTGCAAATTAGTGTATGTAAAGAGGCATGGCCTCCATTATCTCTATAATTTCAATGTTATTTTTCTGGTTCCATCAATTTGGTATCAGAGCATTTCCGATCTAGGGAGTGCTTTCTGGTCCAGATCCAAAAAAAAAAAAAAAGAGAGAGAAAAAAAATGAAATGAAATTCAGATTTACTGATGTTCCAAAATTCTTTGGAGAAGAAAGAGATGATGCATGGGGATGGCTGATCGATTTGGAACAATATTTCCAGATCAAAGGAATCAATGAAGATAAAAAATATAGGGAAACGGTGAGAGGGCTAAGAGGGAGTGCGTTCAATTGGTATCAAGGTTGGAAGTGGTTAAATCTTACCGCAAACTTGAAGAAGTTTTATTGGTAGATGATGGAGAATCAGATCCAGCAATTGATGGTGATAAAGTAGCCAAGGAACAAATCAAGGAAGGCAAAGAGAAAGAAGCAGTAACTTTTGCTAAAAAAATAGAGATCGAAGCAAAGAAAGAAGAAACAGAAAAAAAGGAAGAAGAAACAGAAAAAAAAAGAAGAAAAAAGAAATAAAAGTGCAAAAAAAGTAGAAGGAATTGATAAAACAGAAAAGGAAGGAGCAGAAATAATTGAAAAAGGGGTGGAAATTGCAAAGGAAGAAGCAAATGAAGACACAACAGCATCAGCCAACAAAGCAGAAAAAAGAAAAAAAAAATGAAAAAGAAAATACCGCAGAAGAAATGGGAGAAAAAGGAAAAGAGGCGCAGGGAGATGAAGAAGATGGAGAGGAAGAAGCAGACGAAGTCAGATTTGAAGAAGAAAAAGTGCAGAGAAGCGAAGAAACGATGATGGTCGCAGGGAAGGTGGTGACCGGTTGGGGCAGAAGTGGTTTTATTGGAAACGGGCTTGGTTTGGGTCAACATTCTGCAATCACGACCCGATCCTATAATTTAATTGAGGAAACAAATGGGGAAGGGGCTGATTCTAGTAATGGGCCTTACAATAGAGGGCCCAATTTAATTAACCCCATCAGTACCAAGGGGATGCAAACACAGCCCAACAAAGGCAACTACAACTTAGGGTGCAACGCAAAAAAAAGAGGCAAGACGAGAAACGGCAGAGGGGGAAATACTGACGGAGACGATAATGATGATCGGAGGACTATACGATTCCGGCGACTGTCTTCAATGGAGATGGCGGAACGACGGCGGCGCAACTTCTGGTTCATGTGTGACATTGGAAATTCATCAACCCAGGTTCGTTCAAACTCCCCTCCTCTTGACAAGCTTCTGGGAACTTGCAAACCCCCTCTTGAATGTTCAGCCAATTGGGGAAAGCTGAAATGGGGCACAATAAAGTCAGCCCAACCAGAAGAGCAACTAAGCACTACAAGAAATAGACACAGAGCTGGTGGCTCAGGGTTTGTACAGCTCAACCCAATGCGATTTTTTTACCCAGCTGGTGTTCGTTTATTCTCCCAAGAGACAGAGGAGGATGCAAGTCTCGAATATATGTTTGTTGTAGCTGGGTGGATTTTGGATAATATGATTCAGGAACAGATAATGTTGCAGTTGCTAATTGGGTCAATATGCTTCAAGCAATGGGATCCTGGTGGATGTTCAATTACATCCCTTATTCTCTTCCTCACCTTGAGGACAAGGTGAATTTTGAAAGAGGAGTATTGATGGGCTATGATTAGTGGGCCCAAGTTCAGCAATGCAAAAGAGTCCATAGTAGTTAGTTAGAGGAGAGAGATGTTGTTATATAAAGTGATTTGGGGGTGGGGTTTTCATTATTCATGTATTCAGAAGTGGTTAGTGGGGAAATGAGAGACCTCTAGGGAACTCTTAAGCCTAGGTATTTGGTTTGAGGGGGAGTTGAGGCTTTCTTGGGGTTTATTTTCTGCAAATTAGTGTATGTAAAGAGGCATGGCCTCCATTATCTCTATAATTTCAATGTTATTTTTCTGGTTCCATCAGTATGTAAGCTTCGTAAATCTTTATATGGCCTGAAGCAATCCCCTTGGACCCGGTTTAGTCGCTTTAGTTCTGCTATTCAATCCTTTGGCTTAACCAGAAGAAAAGCCGATCATTCTGTCTTCTATAGGCATAGCTCTTCTGGCCAGTGCATTTATCTCCTGGTCTATGTTGATGACATCAGTATTACTGGCAGCGATCAAAATGGAATTGATCAGTTAAAAAAATATTTATTCAATCAGTTTCAGACCAAAGATCTTGGAAAACTTTGATGTTTCTTAAGGATCGAAGTGGCACAGTCTAAGCAGGACATTTCAATTTGTCAGAGGAAGTATGCACAAGATATCCTAGATGAGAGTGGTAAGTTGGGATGTAAACCTATTAATACACATATGAATCCTAATGTTAAGCTATTACCTAGACAGGGGGAGTCATTGGCAGACCCTGGTTGTTATCGCCGGCTAGTTGGAAAGTTGAACTATCTTACTGTGACAAGACCAGACATTTCTTTTACAGTTAGCGTGGCAAGTCAACTTCTTGACTCTCCTTGTGACTCCCATTGGGATGCAGTTATCAGGATTCTTCGATATATCAAAAGAGCACCAGGAAGAGGTATATTATACAGAAATAAAGGGAATGCAAAGGTGTCTAGCTATTCAGATGCTGACTGGGCAGGTTCTCCTTCAGACAAACGATCCACCTCGAGGTATTGTGTTCTCCTCGGAGGAAACTTGATCTCTTGGAAGAGTAAGAAGCAAACTGTGGTCGCCAGGTCAAGTGCAGAAACAGAATATCGAGCAATGGGAAATGCAACCTGTGAGCTCATCTGGCTAAAACAATTGCTTAAGGAACTACATCTCTGTGAACAGCAGCCCATGAAGCTCATTTGTGACAATCAAGCAGCATTACATATATCCTTAACTCAGTCTTTCATGAGAGGACCAAACATATAAAATTGACTGTCACTTTGTTAGAGAGAAGATTCAGTCAGGAAAGATCGAGACAACATTTGTCAATTCCAGTGATCAACTTGCAGATGCTTTTACCAAGGCTCTTAGAGGTCCCCGAATAGATCATATATGTAACAAGCTGGGAGCTTATGATATATACTCACCAGCTTGAGGGGGAGTGTTAGAAATAAGATTGTATTAAATTGTATTGTATATTTATTATTCTGTTATTCTAGCAGGTTATTTGGGCTTGGCCCATTAGGTCTTTTAACCTCTTTAAATAAAGGCCTTTTGTGCAGTTCTATATACAATTTGAATACAATACATTCATACATTCTAATTTTGAGAAACAAAAAAAGATACATTCATACACTTCTGAAACAGTGTCGGATCAAACAGATGAGCACAGATCTGAAAAAAGCAAGAGGCTATCAGAACCCAAGTGGTCCGCGACGGAAAGTCACAGTCCCGTGCCAGTGAAGCTGTCGGCACGTGGGAGTCACGCGCAGAAGGACTGTTGGCAGGTGAAAGCGTGTGTGACATTCATCGGAGCTGGGCTAGTGCTGTCTGGTCATTTTGGAGCTGTTTAGTCGTCCAGTGATAGGGAAACTTCCGTAGAATGATAGTTTTGAGAAAACGGAGGGAAACAACAATCCTCTCGATCCAAAAAAGGTCCCCGGAAAATTTTCCAATGGCGGCAAGTGGCAAATAGGGTTCCGCTTTTAAAAGCGGCGGTTTGCGGAAGCAAAACCCTCAGAATCAAGAGCTCTGATACCAAATTGAAAAGAAGGATTTGTATATAATTGAATTGTAAGAATAACTGTACCAGAATTCTCTATTTAAAGAGACTAAAAAGACCTAATGAGCTAAGTCCAGATAAGCTTCTAGAGTATTCTAACTATTACAAAATAATGATACAAAACAATGATTAAATAATTCTAATATTTACAATAGTAATGTATATGCTAATATTCTAAATTCTAATTGCTTCCTATATCACTAAAAGATGAAAACCTTGAAATAAGGTAATTTCAAGTTCAGCAATGATTATCAAGGAAATAGATGCTGAAATAGAAACAACAACTGGAGTCATAATTCTATATAACCATGAGCATAAATTGGTACGTTCACTAACTCTTTTACCAACAAGGCAAAAAAAGTGAGTTTAAAACCTCAATAAAAAGAATATTGTTGAGCTTACCCACACACACAGAGATTGTTAAAAAGTCATGCCTCTCTAACAGCTTTGCCCAGGCATCAAGTTTGTGATGTCATTGGTAATACAAGTTAAAATGCAAGATAATTTATCACTACACTGCTATTGGGCAATTGGGGCGGAAATGGAACTTAAACATTTTAAGATAGTTAGTTATTTGCTGACATGCATGCAAATAGCTCAATAGTTAACATACACTTCTTGGCTTTTGGCAAGATCTGATAAGTAACCTAACTGCATATGTTAAGCAGACGGGGAGGGAAAGAAAGCAGGGACAGGAGCAGGATACAATGAGATCTTGGTTTTAAAATCTGTGGTGGAGTGGAGGGTGCAGAGATGCATGCACATAAAGAACATGCTGAATATCTTGAATGTACCTAGAACCAGTAGTTGATCAAAATTATACCCAGGCTTCAATACGGACTTCATCAAAATAGCTTGCCCTGCATAATAAGTGGCTAATCAACAATTCCATTAAGAGGAAGCAGCAATGGGAAAGCCTTTATCAAGCATAAGGGAAATTTTACCATGATGATCTGCCAAGTGCTCTATAGATATTGTACCCCTTGCATTTGCATTGACATAAACAACAATGGCATTAGATGTTATTCTGTCAACAACTCCTGAAACAAGGCTACCTATAGTAACCTTATCATCTTCAGTAACCCTGCCATTTGAATCGTCATATTGGATTAGCATAATTCATAACAAATTTACCCCAGGACAGTGCCTGCTTGCATATTTGAATCATAGCCCTCAACATAACTCTGCAGATAGCTTCTCATAAAACTTGAAAACTCTGAGCTAGAATAAGATACGCTCCCACAAAATACAGACTATTAATGATTATACACTTCAAAAATTCAGTAATGATTTTAAGATCCGGGATCCAAGCAAGGAAGAAAGTAAAAAGAAGCAAACCTTGAGGGCTTTATTATGAAACTAAGGTTGATCCTCCGTGAAGCAGGAATAGAACTTATGACCCGGCATTTAACAACTTGCCCAACATTATACACTGTACCTGGATCAGCACCTGGCTCTAATCCAAGTTCAGATCTGCTCTTAAATCAAAACATTGAATAAGTTAGTTCTAGCAAGATTTTGTGAGTATTGAAAGTAGAATCATACGGAAAGAGTGAATGCAGTTATACTCACATCATTACTGGAATGTACTACATCATATATTCAATAATTTTCAATATGCTAAAACATAAAACTGGGAGATAATGCACAAGAAAAAAAGCCTGAACAGTCAGAGATTCCTCCTCTTTAAAATTGGACAAACAAAGAAAGAACTTCACACATTTAACCTTTCCTCTCATTAAAGAAGAAAATTATTATTATCACTAAAATGAGAGTACCTGAACCCATACAACGTAAACAAAGAATATGGATCAGGAGAACCCTAACAGTGGAGCTAGCATAATGAAAGGATTATACAGCCAATTCCAAATGAGTAGGATGGTAGAAACCAAATCAAAATCTACTAGATTAATGAAACGTTGGAGGCTCAGCTCCTTACAAACACGAATTACAGAGTAAAGAAGAAAAAGATGCTAATAGCTGAAACAGCCTTACAGGAATGACAAAATAACACTACCCAGAGGATCAACTCCTCCAAATTAACCCACACTCATATACCCTTCCTGTCACCAATCTGTTAAGGGTATTTTCTCTCCTCTAACTAACTGCAAAGGACTTTTTTGCATTGCTGGACTTGGGCCCAATTGTCATAGTCCCAACATAGGACAACTATATTCATCTTCTTGAAACTGGCAAATATTGCACAGTACTATATGCTATTTACAAATGATCTGAGAAAAAAACCTACTACAGACCATGAAGGCGATACTTCACTTTATATTACAATAACAAACAAAGAGAACATGCAGACACAGGAATATCCATGTAAAATATCCAATTTTTGCACCCAAAAAAAAAATTCAATTTAAAAGTGATCATAAAATTTTTTCCCCCTAAACAAGTCATAAATAGTAGAGAGAAGCACAGAATTAAGCAATAAGACATCATCTGTCAACACCATATAAAAAACAGGATCAAATAAACAATAGAGAGAAAATAATTGCAGAAAAGAGATTTTTAAACCCTATGCATTGCCAAAAACCACTTCATTAGTTAGAGCATTTTTTTGGTACAATTCGACATATTATTTATCTTTTTTAAAAGAGGAAATGGCTTCAAACTTTAATAATCTCCATGATACAAGAATGGCATGTTAATGGTACATCTTGAAGATGATAAGTTAGCTAAGAGAAAGGAATGAAGTAATGAAGATGGCCATTACTAAAAGAAGCTATATGATTTAAGCAAACATCAAAATATAACCGACTATGACCATGAAATAAGTATCAGAAGTTGGGAATGTGTAGAACAGACAAATCAGAAACTTACCTCGGAGCAAATCCTTGGACCCCATTGTAAAACCGTACAAAGCACCCATGAACTTCAATCTTTGTTATCCATCCATGAGTTATCAAACCATCAGCTGCATCAGCATATGAACTAATAATCCCAAGTTTCGATTTCACCTGTAAAAATATCAAATACCTGATTCAGAATTGAATATGGAAAGATGTAACTCCTTCCACCCCCCCCCCTCTCTCTCTCTCTCTCTCTCTCTCTTCTCTTCTTTCCAACCAGTGCCGCACTAAATATTTCATCAACTAAAGGCTGTAATAATAGAAAATATGGAATTTAAAAGATCATGGTAATACATCACTATAATGTACTGCATGACACCTGTATCACCACATACTCCAGTCAAAAAATACAAAGTTCTTCACAAGAGGGATAATACCAAACTATAATGGAGAGAAAACGATGAAATCAAGCTGAAAATTATATTTGTAAATAACAATCCCATCCCCCGAGAAACTAATATGTACTACACTTTAGTCAATTTGAATGTAAACAAGCCTCTCGATGGCAGTTTTTCTCTCCACAACTCTCGGCATCATTGACACACTTAACTACGGAGTTCTTCTGTTTCAAGCTACCGAAAAGTAGATGCATTTTGTTAGCATAGGTAGTACCAATTAATTCTTATAAGTTATCCCCAACTGTACAGTCTCATACTTGTACAGTCTTAGAATCCCTCTCTTTCAAGTGTTGATTCGATTCATTCATGTACCCCCAGTTACAAGATTTGGCATGAGCCTCTCATTGTCAGTTCCTCTTTTGCACTGGTGATCATTCTTTGCCCTTGTCAAAAAGATAGAAAGACACAAAATAAATAAAACAAAATAGAAAGATAGAAGGATGGTTGACTTACAAAATAGAAAGACAACAGGAAAAAGAAAAAACAAAAAGTAGAAAGACAAAGAAAGTTTCCACTCAGAACAAAGGAAGCTGCAAAAGGGTGAGCTTGGCCTCAAAATGAATGGGCTTGGTCAGAAAACGAGTGGACTTGGCCGGAAAAGGGGTGGTTTGGGAAAAAATTGGGTGAGCTAGAACACGAAGGGCTGAGGCGTGAAAAGAGTGTAGACACTACTTGATGGTATAGCGACACTATAATACCCTGTTCAGCCATGATTTTGGCCGCTACTCACATCACGCTACGAGATTCGTGTAGCAGCCAAGAGCCTCGACACTCCGCACAGTGCAATAGCAGCACTATTTGCCGCTATTGACTACTCTACTCGAGTTGATAAATTGTACCTTTGCTTTATTATTACCAAGAAGGGACAGTGACCATTGTGCCCCTTTTTTGAATAAAATCTGCGGAATGCCACGGGGATCAGAAATTGTGCAAAATGCCATGTTGCAAAACTCACTACAACTGCCAACGAGTACAGTATGACCACGTGCATGTTTGCACTGTACTCGTCACTATGTTGCGAGTTATTACTACTCATTATTAGTAAATAGCATAACTTTTAGCTTCTTGTATCTGATAGCTTCTCAGCTATTCAGTTAGTAGTTTGTTAGTATTGTTAATCTGCTGACTAAGCTTTGAGTCATTGCCTTGCTCTATAAATAGAGCTTTCTCTTTGTATCAGAAGAGATTTCAGATTATTCAATATTACACAATGACTTTCTCTCTATTCTCTCTCTCACTCTCTGATATGGTATCAAAGCTCTCTTTTCTGAGGGCCTGATCCATTTTGAGCTTCTCTCATGACTTCCACAACCTCATCCTCTAAACAAGATCAAGAAAATCGTAACAGCAAAAACATTTCAAACCAGAGCTCACAGATCTCGTCAATGGAGAAAGTTCCAAACCTATTCAACTATCAGATCTCTGTCAAACTAACAAAGGATAACTTCCTTTCCTGGAATCAGATTGTAGAGCCTATAATCACAACACATCAATTCCAACGCTTCTTGATTAATCCAAAAATTCCATTAAAATTTCTCACCAAAGAAGATCGAGATAGTGAATCTGTCAAACCAACGATTGTGACATGGCTCACTCAAGATCAAATGCTACTGATTTGGCTTCTCTCTACACTTTTTGAATCCATAGTGAACAAAATTGTTGGAGTCAAGCACTCTCATGAAGCTTGGGACAAGATCCACAAGTTGTTTCATGGAATGACGAAGTCTAAGGCAAGAAATCTCATATCTGAGTTTCGCACGTTGAAGAAAGGTACGAAAACGATTTCTGAGTATTTGTCAAGGATCAAATCGCTTTGTAACTCGCTGAAAGCCATCAATAATCTCATTTCCATGGAGGATCAAATCGAGTATATTCTCGAAGGCTTATGGACGTGAGAAAACCTATGGTGTTGGTGACATAGCGATTGAGCTAATGGCTTTCGAACAGTTGTTATTGAAGCAAAATGAGTCCCTGATCAGTAAACCAGCCTCAGCAAACGTCGTTGTCACTCACAATCAGACTGAAGGAAATCCTTTGTTTGTCTCTGTTTTACCGAACGAAAAACAGAGCATGAACCAGACTTATGATGCTCCTGATTCTGGTCTTTCTAACGCTGGAAACAGAGGACGAGGAAGGTTTGGAGGTAGGAATGACAGAGGAAGAAGACGTGGACCTCGTTCCAATGTATATTGCTAACTTTGCTACATATATGGACATGACATTCGTTCCTGCTGGCATAGGTTCGATGAACATTTCGTTCCAAACATTTCGACTCCGACTTCGAATGCTTTGCAGTATTTCAATCCTCCACAACAGAGATCCTGTCAGTATGTGCGTCCTCAAATAAATACAGCACCTCAAGCTACGATTGCTTCACAATCAGGCTTGCTGCCTCTTCCAAACTTTGCTCTTACAATTGAATGGTTTCCTGATTTTGGTGCTAGCCATCATGTAACTGCAAATCCTGCCAATCTTGTTCAGAGCCAGCAACTTTCTGGTACAGATCAGATTCTCATTGGTAATGGACAAGGTTTGCCCATTCTTCTTGTTGGTTCAACTCAGTTTGTGTCTCCTTTTGATTTTCAAACTCAATTTAAACTCAAAAATATATTACTTGTTCCTTCGATAGTGAAGAACCTATTAAGAGTTCGTCAGTTTGCCACATATAACAAAGTTTATTTTGAGTTTCATCCCATTAAATGTCTTGTTAAATTGCAGGAGTCTCATAAAAGCTTCTCCTTGAAGGATCTGTTAGCAAGGATGGACTATAGCTTTCCAGGAGTTCAACTTCCTCAAATTCCACTTCCTGTTAGAGATTCTACAACTTGTAATAATTCACATGTGTATTTTGTTTCATCAATTGACAGTTGTAATAGTTCTCATGTTCTCACTTGTACTCAGCCTAGTCATATTTCTAATTCAGCATATTCCTTATGGCATAGTCGATTAGGCAATCCTCACCATGTAACCTTAAAGAATGTTTTGAATTCATGTAAAATTCCATTTGATAATAAAAGTGAGTTTGATTTTTGTTCCTCATGCTGTCTTGGCAAAGCTCACAGATTACATTCTCCTTCCTCTTAAACTGTTTACAGTTCTCCCTTTGAGTTGATTTATAGTGATCATTGGGGACCATCCCTAATTAAATCTACTCTTGACAATTCATGATGCTCACACAAAGTATACTTGGTTGTTTCCCATTCAACAAAAATCTGATGCCATCTCAGTGTTCAAGCAATTTCATTCTATGGTTTCTAACCATTTTCAAGCTTCTATTAGAGCTATTCAAACTGATTGGGGTGGGGAGTTTCGTTCCTTTACTCGATACTTACAACTTCATGGCATATTGCATAGAATAACTTACCCTCATACACATAATCAAAATGGTGTGGTAGAGAGAAAGCATAGACACATTGTTGAAACTGGTTTAACACCTCTCTTATGCATCTCTCCCTATGAAATTCTGGGATTATGCCTTTAGTTCTGCCACTTTCCTTATAAATCGTTTACCCACTGCATTCATATACTTTGAAGTCCTTTATATCAAACTTTACAAAAATGAACTTGATTATAAGTTTCTAATTATAAGTTTCTAAAAGCCTTTGGTTGTACTTGCATTCCTTTCCTTAGGCCTTATAACAAATATAAGCTTGAATATAGATCCCAAGAATGTGTATTTCTTGGATATTCCTCTAGCCACAGAGGTTACATTTGCCAAAATAGAGATGGGAGAACCTTTGTTTCTAAAGATGTCATCTTCAATGAATATTTGTTCCCCTATGCCAGTTCATGAGCAAAGTCTGTTATTGCACCTTCTCCATCTGTTTCCCATTCCATTCCTCTTTTTATTCAAGATGTTTCATCACCCAGTAACTCTTCTAGTACCCAACCTGTTGCAAATTCTTCTCCTGCCCAGTCACCACATCATCAGTCCTCAAGTTCCTTTGTTCCTATACAAGCATCTTCTCCTGCTTCACCCAGTTACAGTCAACATAGTCCATCAGGTTCAGTGCCCTCATCTTCATCTAGCAGTCCAGTTTTGGCCTCTGCCAATCCAGATTTTGCTTCTGTCAGTTCAGACACAGCCTCTGTCAGAAACTCCCCCACTCCCTCCTCTTTAGTTAGTTAACATGTTTCCTCCACATCTTCTTCACATGAGTTTTCCACTTCTGAATTTTTACCTCCTCCTTCTCCTACACATTCTATTCAAACAAGATCAAAGACTCTTGCTCGAGCTCATGCTCTTCTCTCACACATATAGAACCAACCTCAGTTAAACAGGCTCTTTGCAGTCCCCCTTGGCTTGAGGCTATGAAAACCGAATACATTGCTTTATTAGCTAACAATACTTGAACTCTTGTCCCTTTGCCTTCTAACAAGTCTACCATTGGCTGCAAATGGGTTTTTAGACTTAAGGAAAATCCCGATGGATCCATAAACAAGTATAAGGCAAGACTCGTTGCAAAGGGTTTCCATCAACAGTTTGGATTTGATTATAATGAGACTTTTAGCCCAATGGTCAATAACCATCCAAATTATGCTTACTTTGGCCCTCACTTATGGCTAGATTCTTAGGCAATTGGATGTCAATAATGCAAACTTAAATGGTGATCTTGAAGAAGAAGTGTACATGGTGCAGCCCCTTGGTTTTGAGCACTCTAATAAATAGTTGCTTTGCAAGCTTAACAAGGCTCTTTAGGGTCTTAAGCAAGCACCCTGTGCTTGGTTTGATAAACTGAAGGGGTGTATTCTAGCTTTTGGCTTCAAGGCAAGCTGTTGTGATTTATTCATCCTTTGTTCTTCCTCAAGATGTACTTATGTTCTCATCTATGTAGATGATATTATAGTCATTGGATCTAATCCTTCCTTCATCAGTCATTTGATCACACAACTTAATGCTCAGTTTGCTTTGAAAGATTTGGGCAACCTAGACTATTTTCTTGGTGTTGAGGTTAAGAAGACTGGTTCGAACACTTTGATGTTGTCTCAATCCAAGTATATTCGAGACTTACTTGCTAGAGCTTCTATGCAAGAAGCATAAGGCATCCCTTCTCCTATGCCTGCTGGTTGTAAGCTCTCTGGATTGGCTCTCATTATTACTCTGACCCTCATGTGTTCTACGATAATATAAGCACAGTTGCTCCACTCGCAACCCTGTTCTTCATGCCAGAACCAAGCATATGGAACTGGATATCTTCTTTGTTCGTCAACGAGTTCTTAACAAGGAATTGGTTGTTTCCCATATTCCTTCGTCTGATCAAGTTGCCGACACGTTGACAAAGCCTATGTCCTCTACTCATTTTGCTGATTTAAGAACCAAACTCAAGGTCTTGGATAGCTCCTTACTTACATCCAAGCCTCCTTGAGTTTGCGGAAAGGTATTAGTAAATAGCATAGCTTTTAGCTTCAGCTTAGCGTTGTATTTTAGCATGTTTACATCTGCTTGTATCTGATAGCTTCTCAGCTATTCAGTTAGTAGTTAGTTAGTATTGTTAATATGCTGACTCAGTTTTGAGTCATTGCCTTGCTCTATAAATAGAGCTTTCTCTTTGTATCAGAACAGATTTCAGATTATTCAATATTACACAATGACTTTCTCTCATTCTCTCCCGTTCTCTCCCTCACTCTCTGATACTTATGACACGTGTCAGACATGCAATTCAAAAAGTAATTTTTGAGACTTTACTCGCTACACAGTACAGCGAGTTTATCTCTCTCCTCCACGTGTCACTGAAAAGCAGAAATGAGACTGACTGATTTGACCACTTAACTCGCTATAACTAGTAGCGAGTTTGGTGGCCTTAGCAAACGTGCCACGTGGCCACACTATACTCGCTGGCGGTAGTAGCAAGTTTTGCAAAGTGGCATTTTGGCAAACTTTCTTATTCTCGTGGCATTTCGGCATATTTTATTCAAAAAAAGGGCACAATGGTCACTGTCCCTACCAAGAATATCTTACCCTCAACCATGTGCCTCTCCTTCCTCTTTTAATGCATAATAATTCTTCTATCCAAAGGAAGGGAAAAAAAAGCATAAGGGCTAGTACTGGATGTAAAATAGAAAAAAGGAAAAAAAAAATGTTTATTAGGACATTGAACAAACTGGAGAAGAGTACACACAGAAACATACGAGGGTTTTCTTGTGTGTAACTGTCACTCTTTTTGACTTGCAACCAAGCACACGGAAAACCAATTCAGCTCCCACCTGTACCACAATCCAGGCAAAGGCTTCAGTTATGAAATGTCTCATTTGTCCCATCAGGTAACGAAAAATCAAAATGCATACATAGCTAAAATAGAACCTTGAATTTTTTTCCAGGCTTTGCAATTTCCAGTTCAGACATATGTCGAAGAGGACAAAGTGCCTTCACACCACCAGGAATTTGCACAATGGCGCCAAAGCTGTCAACTGAAAGAATCTTAGCCTTCACCACCATCCCCGGCTTAACATCAGAATGAGTAAATACTGCCTCTCCAATAGCACTAGCCTGCTTGATATGAAAAAAACATAAAGAAGACCAAATTAAAACTTCCTACAAATTCACATTATTCCAGATAACATCTCACTTAAAATGATATCCACACAGAAAATCATTATACATAGAAACAACAGACTAGCTCAGTTTAGGCATCTAAGATTTTTCTTTTTTTTAAAAAATATGGATAAGAAATGTTATTAATTTGCAACCTTCAGCAAATTTAACATATTAGATTTAGAGAAGAATCATCAAATATAGAATGAATTAATTATATGGCCTCTGGTTCAAAGAGCCCACTCCAGTTACTTCCCAATATGATTATGGGATAGACACACAAGCCAAGCCACTCATCAAAAGAAAACAGTGGAGAGCACAACACGAAGCTTTTATAACAAAATGTAGAACGTATTGATGAATGAAAAGATTGGCAATAATCTAACATGGGGAAATAAATGAACAGCTTGTTTTTAAAAAGTGGACTTTCAACTGAAAGAATTCGTAGAAAGCTCACTATTTAACAATTATAAACAACTATAACCATTTATATTTCCACAAGAGATTAGTACCATTAAAATTTATTTCCAAGCACTCAATACAATCATAAGAATTAAGAACTCTTGAATGAGAGAACTCTTCTGTCCATTATAAGGCTGACCTCCTAAAAGTACAAATGCACATAAACACAGAAAAATAGATACATATAAGCTCAAAAGAGTTTAACAATGATACAACTGTGTGAAATCCCAGGTACATAGTCTACAGCAATTAGACAGAGGGTAAACTGCACTGATGTACAGACACATAGGACAGAGTAGATTATAGGGTAAATTACACTCCCCTCCACCAAGAGATGCTTAAATTACAGAGCCCTCTTCTCTACTTTGAAAAAATGCACTCCCTTCTGCTAAGAGATGAATATGTTTTGTACAATTATACTTAAATCCATCTTAATGTGAACAAGTCTCTTAGGGGCAGTTTTTTTCCCTTTGCAACTCTTAGCATCATCAGCCAGTAATTATGAACCCCCTACTATCAACTTTGGCACTTTAGAAGATAAAATAAAGATTTTTGGTCAAATCTCAAACTGATAGTGGAGGTGTTCAAAACTTAGTTTCATCTTTGAAGTCCCAAAGTTGATAGTAGGAATTCAAAACTAGTTGCATTTGACACTTGAGAGTCATAGAAAGAGTAATAATTCCCCTGGGAGGATCATTCATAGTTATTCATCAATGCTAAGAGGGTTGATTACCTTCAAATGCACTAACGTGTGGCACATTTTCATCTCTCGGAAAATGAGTGTAACTTTTCAAAATAAAGAGGGCAATGTAATATGAGCATCTCTCGGGAGGAGAGTGTAATTTACATTAGAATTTATGAAACATGACTTAATAAGTATAACATATCTTGTCCTTATACCAAATTTGGCCAGCTAATAAGGGAATCATATATAAATAACAATCCCCCTTGACCTTGACAGCTTAATGATGTTGAATGCCAAGCCCAATATTTGTTTGATTTAACTTCTAAACTATTCTCCAAACAAAAGACCTATGTAAGGTGATAAGAATGTGGTGCAAGTGAAATACCAACAGAAAAGAGAACTACTGCAATCATTCAATTACAGATGCTTATCATATTTAAGAAATTAAATGAAAGTAGAATGACAACCTTCAAAACCCCTGTAGCAAGCCCTTCCAAATGCCTTAACCCAAGAATACGAACTCGAACATGATTTCCTGCCTTGAACTTCTTCTCAAGCTTCTGGATCTCCTCTTCAGCAATATCAGATATCTGTCAGTAATAATTTCAATTATCATTCTCACTTTGCCTGGTGGGTTAAGGCTTAATTGTTATTCTAATGTTTTTGACCATTCAAAATTCATATTGTAAAAGGCCTGCATCATCAGAACTTGTTCAGAAACAACATACACTGACAAAAGCTGGAGTTGACTCAGGAATTGATGGAACTTCAAGCAATAGTCCTGATCCTCTATCCACCCTGACAACTTTTGAGTTGTCATATATATCTCCAATTTTAACATGCTGAACAGAAAAGTCATTTCATCAGTCTCTTACATGGTACACATGATCATTAACTTGTATAAACACAATACCAACTTGGCAAATTATCAACAAACAATGTTGTCAGAAGAGGGGGGAAGAGAGAGAGATTTTTACAAAGAGAAGAAAAGCCTATTTCAAACTATACAAGTAACTTAGCAATGTGGTATTAAATTACTGCTTATATCTGATCTGCTATAGCACCTAACACAAACACCATTTAACAAAGCTTTACACAGACTTAGAGCCTCCAAACTATCAGGGTAGGGGACAAAAACTAGTCAGAATTCCTACATTCATGTGATTATTAGAATCACCCCATCACAAAGATTCAATGATGTTTAAAAGGGCACCATTTCTTGTGTAAATTTCAAGGCATTCTTTTAGGCTACACACCTGACTAACATAAATAATAGAAACTTCATAGCTATGTAACTTGTACATAGGGAATTGACTGTATTTGATAAATTGGTTCGAGAGAAATGACAGACTATTCTAGTACAGACCTGTTCGAACTTTGAACCCTTCACTTTTGTAGCATACAATTGATTTTAGTATTGTTTTGAATGCAATGCTAGTTATTGTCTCGGAGTCCTACTAATTATATTAAAGAACTTGGATATTTTTCTTTAGTTAATGAATTTGTTGTTTTGTCATCTAGTTACGCAACGAAATTGGTTGTATTTTTTTTTAGATATATATTATCTTTTCCTTTTTTTTTGCTAAGTCGAATCCAAATCATATTCTGTGATCAACAACAATCTAAATTTGGAAGCACTAGACAAGAAACACAAAAGTTAACAACATGGATTGGTTATTACAGCAGGAAAGAGGAGAAAAAATAGTTACAGAATCCATTCCATGGGATGAAATATCCCATCCATAGAGCACCAACAACATATAAGACCACCATACTTACAGAGGGAGGGGCCTTATTCTGAATAAGATGAGGATTCAGCGTCAAACCAACAGCTCTACTTGATGGATCAATGAATAATATCCGAGAAATAACCTACATAAGAGGCAATAAGAAAAATTGAAATGTAAATTTCAAAGGAGATGACTTGCAATATAGCACAAAAGACAGCATCGGCTGAAAACACAAATCATTTCTCGAACTCAATGTGTGTTGATGTCTATCACGGTTGAGAAGTAAATATGAAGCTACAACCAACATGATGATGCATTATGACTGCAATCAGAAATTCAGCAATGCCAAACCAAAGAACTAATAGGTACACAACTAATGACTTGAAAATAAGAACTTGAAAAGAAGATTTGTATATTATTGAATTGTATAATATCTGTACAAGAGCTCTCTATTTAAAGAGTACTGAAAGACCTAATGGGCTAAGCCCAAAATACACTTCTAAAGTATTCTAGCTAATACAAATAAATTGATAAAATTCTAATATTTACAACATAATGTTTACTTGGGAGGGGCGGATCGGAATAAAACAAGGATAATTTCTTTTGATAGAAAGAAAAAAGAAACTTTCACCAAAAAAACTTGTATCTTAAATGTGTGCGAATCCACTTTTATTTATAAACATAATGAGCATGTACTTAAATTATACAGCCCTAGCACCAGTTAAAGAGAGAATTTGGAAGACCTTTAGACTGCGAGAACCTTCTAATGGATAATGGATTGCTTGTTTTACACTACAGTCAAATTCCATATCATTTTCAGCTGAAATGGTGTCTTTGTCTCTCTTGAAAAAGAGAGAGATAAGAAAGATGCTAATGCAAACTATTACTAAACATGCAAAGGCATCAGAAAGATTTTTCCACTGGAAAATCAGATTATGCATATGTACCTGAAAAAAGCTTGGCACTTAATAACTTACTAAGTTATACTCAAAGATCTTGCAACAGAAGTATTTCAGTACATAAAGCAAAAAACAGCGATACAATTCAAGAAATTGGGTGTGATAAAAGTTGCATGCAAAGGTGGAATTCAAAAGTACCTTCTGAGATTCATTGTACTTCTCCTTCCAGTTTGTTGCAGGATATATATTTTGTAAATGAAACAGATCAACCTGCAGTAAAAAGATTCCAAAAATTAATTTCGTGAAGGCATCGGTTTGGTCAGGATAATTTATTTACTCAAAATTACATTTATGCATTCTTATTACAACAAATGCAGTATATACTTACAGTTCCAGTGAAGTATGTGAGAAATGATAACATAACACCATTCTCGAGGATTGACTTCACACGGGCATTAACCATCATTCCTGGAACTAGAAGATCAATAGAAATACCTCTGAGATCCTTGTTCTGTATCAAATGCACAAGGAAAAAACCAATCAAAAGGGAAAGTGGGAACCATAAAAAAGACACCAAAAAGACAACATAATGAATACAGAAGAAGCATACCACACTTTTGGACATTGTATCAGGGTCAGAACTCAAGTAAACCACTTTACGAACTTTATCAATGCTCCTGACCAAACCTTGCAGAAGTTGTCCAATTTTTAATTCACTGCCCCGGCCTTCTACAGGCATTTAAACAAAAGAAAGGCAAAGAAACCATAAATTGAGTTTGGTTTAACCATACCAGACAATATGAAGCAACTAAAATTCACAACAGTTGAGTTATGTTTACCAGTAGAGCTATTTATTGGTAAGAATCCCATGAAAGAAGGCAAACCAAAATGAAGAATGTAACCATGGTCTTCAATGCTTTTCACATATGCAGCAAGGACCTGTATATATGCAATGTACAAATAAGTAGGCACAAGCATTGTCAATTGATACCTAGATCCATATAAGTTTAAATGCTTAGTACAGATACAAATACGGATGCCTAATAATTCGAGATTAGCAAACAAACTGGATCTCATATGCTCGCAAAAATCGACCGACCCCAACTAATTTGGTATAAAGGTGATGTTCATGTTGATACTTAAAAAAAAAAAAAAAAAAAAAAAAACTGAGCTAAAGGGTCATCACAGGGTTACTTAAAAGTTATTGAGATTATTCTTATAGATGACTTTTACCTTGAGATGCATATAGCTGGCTCCATGTATTACACAATTGACAACCCCAATTAAAGGAGAAAACTAAATCCTATTGTAGATGACCAATAAAAAAAAAGTTTACAACAAATAATTCCATACATAAAATAATGACATACCATGCCTTCCTGAACAACATCCAAGTTGAAGTTCTTGTGCAACAAAGAGAGACGCAAAGAAAGCCAAACTTTCCGACTTCCTTTCTCTTTCTTGTCATCATCCAATCTCAACACAACACAAGAAACCAGCTGCCCAACACAAAATACACTAGAAAGGAAACTTTCCCCAACCTGACCGAGAGAGAGACAGAGAGAAAGTGAGCTCAAAAACTGACGGGTAAATAACAATAGCAAAAAATAATTACAAAATTGTGTTGAGCCACTAATTAAGAGAACGTGTAAGGAGAGTGAGAGGCAATCCAATGCGAATTTGACAGAAAAGCTTATTGCAAACCTCAATTGTGTCGTCGAAAATAGGATCCAATGCATCTGAAGCATGAACTAAACCACGTAAACCCCCAGGTAGACTAACTACAAGGTCTTTATCATTTACTTCAGCAACAACTCCCCAAAGCTTCATTCCAGGAGTTATATTCTGGCATACATACAAGAGTGGAAAGTTTAAGCACAGCACATGCACAGACAAAAAGAATCCTAAGGCATGATGTCAATCAGCCAAATAAGAAAAAGGGCTAAATATTAAAAATAAGACTATAAGCCTATTATAAAGCTCAATTTGAACATCCCGATTGTAAAATTGAATGAAAATTTAAAAATTTTTTTTTTTTTTTTTAGCAGTTATTTTAATTCATCATGACATAAAACATACAAATTCAACCCTCAATCACGAAACCAAAATTTTCCAAGTTCTATATATATAGTGATTTATACAGATGCCATATACCATGGCAGTTCACTAGAGATGTGTTCTTTTTCTACGAATTACATGTTAAATTTCATCTCTACAAAGCAGAATAACTCATTCATCACACTTAACACAAAATATATCAAAAATAACCAATAAGGTGATAACATTAAGGTAGCTATCAAATTAAAATAAAATAAATAATCAACACGCATCCTCCATTCTAAACTTGCTAAACCTTACCTTGAGAGTAATTTTATTCACACGCCGCGGTAGTTTTCCGGCAATAACATCGCTGGAAAGCAAGCCCCAATCATCTGCGGGTTCATTACTCTTCCTCAACACATTTTTCCCCTTCTTATTCTTCTTCGTCTTCCATGATTGCTCCTCATCCCCAAACTCATCATAATCTTCTCTTCCATTCCTTCGCTTCACAAAAAATTCTCCCCCTAACGGAAACAACACAAGTTCACATTCAATCAAATCCTAAGTTACAAAATAAGGGAAAATCAAAACCGTGTAAAGATCATTCCAAACCTCTGGGGAAATCGGGAACTTCGTCTTCGAGCTGCAAAGCGAGTGCTTCAGACTTAGCGGCGGCGGCGGCGGCGTCGTTTTGCTCCCTCCTGGGTTTGAATATTTTCTTCGAGGCTTTATCCATTTTTGGCTTGTCAACTGAGTCCTTATTCTTGTTCTTCTTAAGCGATTTTTTATCGTGTGGTGCCATATCTATTGTTTCTTAGATTCAAGAACAAGCTTGTGCTTCACTTGAAGGTGGAGAAGGAGCAGGGTTTAGAAATGGTTTTAGGTTGGGAAGAAGGAGGCATAAAAAGTGAGTGCAAGAACACAAGTGAACACATATAACACAATGGGCCACTAACCCTTGTCCAAAAAGCCTAGTTTAAACAACTCACAAAGCCCAGACCCAAGCCCGCTCCAGCAAATGAATTTAAGTAAGCCCAGACAGTTATTGTTGATTTACCGGTTCATCAATTAAGACCAAAAAATTTGTCATTGTGCAGCAGCATGGGAAATTTTTCCCATTTTATGTGGGTCAAAGGCGCATTGGGCGAATTTGATGTAGCATCTAATATATTTTTTAATGATAATATTATTATTTAAAATTAAATATACATGATATGACTTCAAAAAAAAAAAAAATTATTACTTTTGATTTATAATTTGAAGGGCAAATTATATAAAATCACCTTGTACTTAGGTTTTTTTTAAAGGATCAATGTTTTTCATGTTATCGAAGATAATTTTATCTCTTACACATATAAAAGTGTGTGGGGCTATATGAAAAGAAGAGAAAAAATAAACACTATTAAGGGTAACTTGGATGAAAAATAACACAAGGAGATAAATGATAAAAAAAACCATAAAAGAGTAAGTGATTCAAATAAAAACCACAAGGAGTTATTTGAACTTTTTCCTTTTATTTATAAGAAGCCCCACTGGTGGAGCTCTTCAAAACCTTATTCCTTTCTTGCCTACAGAGATAGAGATCTTTCTCTTGCATATAGTTGTGGCATATATAATATACCTTACAACAATCTCCATATACCTGAACCATTAATTACCATATCCATCTCACTTAAACTCTCAGTATTTTTGAAGTTTGGTTTGTTGATCTTCCTTTCATTAATAAAATGAGATAATCGCACACTGTGATTCAATTGATAATTTAAATTATAATAGACTTTACACGAAGTAGTGTAAGATTAAAAAAAAATGCCTATGCAGATACTGTATGCCTTTCTTAAAAACAATATTTAAACTTTAATTATTATAAATATAATAAATTATTATTTTTTATCTCCAATTATATATTACATTTAAAAAATAATTAAATGATTAGCGTTAGAAGCAGTAGACCAAATATACAACAAAAAACCTATGTTTGATCCCCATCAAATATATCTTTGGAGAGGGGCAAAAAGTTTTAATTATGATTAAGATCTGACTTGGAATTAGTCCTACAGCCAACTCAAAGAGTTGAAGCTTGAGGGGACATCCAGATCAAAAATAAAAATACATAACAGATTTTAAATATGCTAGTTAGGATTCCTTGAACTAAACATTGATGAAAATTTATGCGTAATAATGACTACAAAAGTTGCGTAGGTAGCAATTTTACAGGCTCATCTACGTGACTCACATTCCAACTTAAACACCAATACAGTGGCCTATATTTCCTTTGTAATCATCTACTCATCATTTAACTGAATAACTAAAATCATCAAAGGCTTGTCTTTCTCTAGCATTGCACATATGATGCATTTACCTCTAATCTTACAAGCTCTCATCCATGCACTTAATTTAAGCTGCAGAAGGTGATTACTATTAGTATTGTTAGAACCACTAAATTTACAGAGGGTCTCGGACCAAGATTCAAATCCTATTTCTTGGTGATTAAGGAAAATTTGTAATATTTAGTTCGAATGCCTTAACAAACCCAACATCTTCCTCTTTGGAACTCTAGAATGGAAGCAAGTTGAATAATTCAAAACTAAAGCAGTTATGACTTATGAATCAAGCCAGAGTACTCCCAAAATATTCTATTGCCTTCCTCTTCACAGATTCAATTCGTTCTTCATCACTTGGGGACTTCTCATAATCAAGAACTGCAAATCAAGAAAACAAAGTCCCCAAGAAGTCTGATAGGAAAATTGTTGAGTTTCTGCTTTTTTACTAAAGTCCAAACGAGCTAAGAGTATGAAAAGAGCCCAAGAAACATAGAGTCCAATGAGCTTAGGGCTAAGGTTTCTTGGAACCCTTATAAATATTATCACTTAAGTCATCAGCCTCATAGGTCATTGAACAGAAAAGGTAAGCTCAGATTTGAAAAGGTGCCCACACACTTTCTCTTCTCCCTCGAGAGATAGCTTGGAAGGTTTACCATAGAGTAGAGAGATCTGTTCGAGTTAGAGAAATTTGTTTGTATTATGATGCAGAAGAGAACAGTACGTACGTGAGTTCGTGCTATGACGCAAAGGAAATGAATTCGTGAAGGGAATCATACACAAGGTTATTCTACGAAGACGGCGCATCAAGAGGTAATTGTGAACGAGGATGATTCGGTAAACATACCAATGTACCAGGTTTTAAATCGCTTAAGCATAAATCCAATAGTTCCTATAATTGGTATCAGAGCCTTGGTTGTACATTGGTATGTAAATCTAGTTTTACTATTCATGTAATTAGTTTTGCTTCATAAAATATGGCACCTAGGGTTCTATATTTGTTATTATAATTGGCATGTGTATCCTTTATAATTCTTTCTATAAAAATTGATACTTTTATTTGGTTTTTGACTTTAATCCATGGTAAAGATTTGAATGTATTCTCTTGGGTTGTAATAAGGATGCCAATCTCATATGATTAGGTTTTCTCCTTGATTTTTATTTCAATTTTTGTATTTATTTTATTGTATTACAAATCTTATCTTATTATATAGAAAGTAGAACCAAACTTTGGAAAGTTTGCTGACGTGTCGCTTTCTCCTTCATTCTCAGCTTTGTGTTCACACTGGAGGATAGTTTGAAAAGTTACTTTATTTGGAAAAAAAATTTATTTCATAAATAAAAAATTCTAAAAAGGAGGAAGAGTCTCTAAAATTATAAAATACTTGGTTTCAGACAACTGTATTAATGACCTTCGAAATTCGAAATTTAAATTTGAAATGGGTGGGAAGAATAATTCAAAATATATAGTGGAAGACACATATATTAATGATCCACTACTTTCTGCATGGGTAGGTGGAAAAGTATTAATATCTCATTACTTTTTGCATTAGTAAGTGGAAAAGTATTCAAATTCAAAATTTAAACTTAAAGGTGGGAAAAGAGGTCAATATTAATATCTCACTACTTTCTGCATAGGTAATTGTTAACCCCATTAATATCCCACTATTGGGCTTAATTATTTAAAAACAAAATTATTTTGTGTATAAATAGGATATGTGTTATTGGGTCTTTTCATTTGGTAATTAGCTTTTGTGCATATGTTTCTTCTCTTCTCTGTCTATTTATCTTCTTCATCTTATCAAGTTGTTCTTCTATTAGATGAACATGTAATATTTTTCATTTTTTTGTAGCACTATTTTAGAGTAAAGCTGACGGGATGATTTGGAATCACTAGAATATGTATTTCTTTACTTCCTCAGAGGAAGGTATGACATTCTTCTCTATCTTTTTTTCTTCTACAAGTATTTTTTTTCATAACACAATATTGTGATATGCTTTTTTTTAACTATTGTATGTATGCGTTTTGTAGGGTGGAAGAATCCATGCTATTGTCAAGTTGTTCTTCTATTATACTTTGTGGGAGCGGTATGTAGATCAAGTACTAACTTTGTTGGCAAATAATCAATCTCCTCAAAATGTTGAAAAAAGATTTCAGGGATATTTTTTTTATAATTTTTTCTCATTTTATGCTTATGTTTCAGGGTTATCAATGAGGAAAACGCGAAAAATGCATAATGGTGAAAAATTAAAAGATCAAGACTTTATAATAGTGAAAGCAAACAATCTACCACAAAACCAACATCATCAATGAAATTAAGGTTAAGAAGAAGAAGAACGGTTTGTGAGTATATTAAATGGAATAAGAAGATATGGGTTACTCTCTTTTAGTTTTTCAATTTTGATTTTTTTATTTGTTATTTCAATTGCATATGTTTCGAATCAAATTTCATTATATTTTTTTTAAAATTTTAATAAGATTAAAACTAAAATGATACGTTTTTAATTTTTTTAGAGTCATTTGTAATATGTTCCTCTTGTCTTACACTACAATTCGAGTTGTTTACTTTGTTCTGTTAATCAATTATCGTTAATGTAGATAGCACCCCATTTATGGTATATGTTACTTACAAACAGATTTTTTTTTTTTTTTTGATAACAACTTACAAACAGATTTTTATGGTATATGTTACCTACAAACATATTTTAAAGCACGCATAGTCATAACTTTCTTAGAGATGTAACTCATAGTGAGTGCTATATTAGCACTCATTACGTAAATTAATGATGTAACATGTTTAATTTGAAAAATAAGAGGGGGCATTTTATTATTATGTTTATTGGGATTAATTAATTTTTTGGGTCTAAAAAAGAACAAAAATGCAGCAATTATACCATTACACATTCTGCATTGGTAATTGCAGCAACTATATCACTATACGTTCTGCATTTATTAAATTATTTTTTGAAAAAAAAAATTTAATATTCATTATCTAAAATAATCAGTATAAAGATAGTTTCTGAGAAGTGATTAGTTGTTATCTAAGTGACGTGACCTTTAGCTTTTCCATGACAAGCGCACCATCTTCGATGCAAATATAATTAAACCCTCCAATATTCTATAAATTTTTCAAATTGGTGTGTTATTCTTCTCACTCTTTAGAGAATCTCGAAAACCAAGCTCCATAATTAAACATTAATTCTTCACAAAAAAATTGGCGTTGGAGACGTGATTTTCATTGGCAAGAAGAGCGGTGACTTATTGTTTGAAGAAGCTTAAGTGAGAAATTATTATACCTATTTGTAAAAATTTCAATATATATATTATGTCTATTGAGCATAATTATTATATCAATTAATAAACTTTTCAAATTTGAAATTGAAATAATTTGATAGGTGTGAAGTGAAAAGAATTTGAAGTTGGTATAGATGGAAAAATAATTTAACATCTTTTAGTATGAGACAACTGTATTAAATTTCCACTATTTTCTACAAGGGGATTGTTAACCCTCATTTTAAAAAACATTGAATAATTTTTTTCATATTTATTGAAA